GCAGGTTGTACTTAACGAATTGTATTTAATAAAACACGGAGAAAACCCCCCCAAAATAATCCAAAGTAGCAAACCAAAACCATGACTGAAGCAAAAAACTATCAATAACAGAAACATGACCGAAACATGACAGGTTGACTAGCTGTTGAAAGTGGTCATTTATCGAGCCACACTCTTGATCGCATTTTGTGTGGCAACGGAACCACTGTTTTCCATGTTTCACTGCGCTAATACAGTATTATTCACCTTTCCAATGTACACTGCTACTGATGACATCGAACACGTGCTCTGGTCTTAATCACAACTTTGAAATTGTTTGGAAGAGTGAGTAAGGCCATTTATTTAAATTTATTAGCAGATCTTTATGTGTTTATGCATTTGCCAAATATGATAAATTGGCCAATCCACATACATGCTTTGGATGCACTGCTGGTTAGGTCTCTTAAAGCAGCAGGCCAATGAAAATGTTTTTCCTAATATCAATGGCATCTGATTCAATGGATAAATCTCGATCCTGACTGCCAGAAAATGGTGCACTTTCACCGCTTTTAAAGAGTCATAATTTCTTAACACGTCACAAGAAAATGGCATGTACAGTATATCACTGCAATTGTCTGACAAAAAACATCTATATGATGATAATAATAATGGTCTCATTTAATAAATCAATCTCTGACATTTTACATACCGGTACATACCTATAAAATTTAATTCAACATAAAATGACGAGGATCATTTCGCGTTTATATTAAAAAAAAAAAGTAATACAAAGAAGTGTCAAATATGGGGGATACGACTTACTTCGCTCGGTGAGGAGGTCTCAGTCTTGGACAATCTTTTCTTCTGCGACATGGTACCACACTGACTTGAAAGGAAAAAAAGAGGGCACTTGAAACCGGGGGACGTCGAGAACGTTAAATAGTAACTTGCATGCGAGGAGCCTTGATGCTAGCCGGCCCAGCGAACGTTACACGACGTGCGGTTACTGTACTACGAAGATAAAAATTCCCGCTGTTGTGATCACGGACTTTATTTATATATGACGGAGTAACAACTGGTCTGTACCGCGCGGCTGAAGCCAAAGGGCAGCCATTTTGCGTTGCCACAGTTAGTGCCAAGCCTATTTTTTTTTCCACCGCAAATTTTTTTTCTTGGTGGTTTTAGCCTTGTTTTCATTGTTAATCGTTCTAAGCAACATAAATCAGACAAATCTTTCAATTGCCCTCGGAGATATACTTTAGAGAGGAAATTTTGAAATCGCAATTCTTTTCTCCCACTTATTGCTAAAAGCGAATTTCACGCGCTGTGGGATGTTCGCCGTAGAGATAGTAAATAACATGTAGATGCCGGAAAGAAATAAATGTAATCACGGTAGTCGTGGCAACGTAAGATGTCCACCGGCGGCTTCACTTCTTGCTCCGGTGAGGAAGCAGCGAAGCTGAGTCCATTCATTTGTAAATCAGTAGTTGTGACCAGCTACCCCAGGACGCTGCCACAGCTCGGCTAATCGACATGCCTCCGTGCCGGCCATGTTGTAGGGGCGGGAGGCAACATTCCCTTCAAAGGCATTGCATTGATTGACATTGAAATTCGGTCGTAACTTGCTCATCTTGTCTTAACCGACCAACGTGAGGTTTACTTATTTGTCAATGTAAAAACATGTCCTTTGAATACTTACCACATGGGGGGTATGGCCAACATTTTTTGATTTACTTGTTAACTGTTATTCCCAGTTCTCTTATCGTAAGTATACGACGTTGTGCGCAACGTTATGCAGCGCAATGGCAACATCCTTTGTTTTAGAATATCTTGACATCCATACACACGGAATGCGGTTGTCGCCTTTGCCACTCCTAGCTTAGCATTGCTTGGGCACGCAGCCATTTGCTCCTCTTTTATTTTCCTCTGCTGCTTCTTCTTCGTCGTCGTCGTCGTCTTTTTCTTCTTCTTCTTCTTCTTCTTCTTCTTCTTCTTCTTCTTCTTCTTCTTCTTCTTCTCCTTCTCCTTCTTCTTCTTCTTCTTCTTCTTCTTCTTCTTCTTCTTCTTCTCCTTCTTCTTCTTCTCCTTCTCTTCCTCCTCCTCGCCCTCCTTCTCGCCCTCCTCCTTCTCGCCCTCCTCCTCCTCCTTCTGGATAGCAGTGTGGCAATTGGGGAAAGAAATCTCTCGGTTTCGCTCTGTTCTACCTGCTGATTTCCCCAATAATCCTATGCATACAAAGTTGTTGCAACTTGCTTTCTTTAATGGCAGATCACAATTCTTCCTCTGGTGATACATAATACAGTGAAATACTCAATGATACACGTTACAGTTGTTTCTCTCCGGTAGTGTGTACGGTTTGAATGGCAAACTTCTCAGATGACAGTGTGTTCCGGATAAGCGGTTGATATTTAACAGTCAAAAATGTTTACTCCATATTGGCAGTTCCACGCTTTCGCAGTTTTCACATATTCTTTCTTTTCACAAAAATACACATTCCTCTGAACCATCAGATCCCAGATGTGACGCAGACCATATTCCGCTTGGCCGGGGGAAAAACGAACATTACTAAAAGAAAGCATACAGTAGAGGGCAGCAGAAATACGTACAATATATACGAGATGGCATTAGCTATAATATTCATCTCCACGCTCTCTCTGTTTTAGCTTGAATGACACATGCGCCAACTTTTTTCATTTTGTCCTGATGAGTGTCATAAAGAAAAACAGCATTTGAAAGCATGGAATTTTGTAATATGCTGTGTGTTGACAGCTCTCTGAATTATTGGCGTAGTTTTGCCTGTTACGTCTGCCGTGTCATCAGTGACGTGCGCGCATGTGTGCATTAGTCTGTGTACGCGTGTCATAGTGCAAGATTGGAGAGACGAGCGGTGCTGAGACACCAGATGCAAGCAATATTCATCTGTGGACTACTTTAGCTGATCCTGAACTCCACCTCATCGCCATATCAACAATCTCTATCATGAGTTTGTGAATCCGGACATTTTTGTGTTATTGCTAAGTGTTTTCTGATTCTGGCCCTGCCATGTTACTTGCATTCCTCAGATGTTTTTTGCCTTGCTCCTTGCTTGCCAAGCACTACTAACTACCTATATCCCACAAATACTGCAACAAGATCTTGCATTGTAGGATAATCGCATCTTCACCCCAAACCCTGCTGGCTTCCCTTTAGCTTCCAGTCCTCTACTTGTTCCCATGTTACACCCGTGACACCCCAAAATTTCTCAGCTCCATCCACAATCATCTTAAGTTTCTCTTGTTTTGGGTTTCACTTAGTCAGAGCAATTTATTACAAACGCTATGAATGCAGTCATAGTCTCTCAGCAGTAACCTCATCTGTATGCCCTGATGGAATTCATTCCAATCGTTGACTGTGACTGATCAAACTAACTTCAATCCTTTGATTTTGTTGAACTTTCTTTACTGCTTCGGAATAGCTAATGTTATCCACCATTTTGATCTTTTTTTCCTGACTTCACCCCCTTGATAATTATGTTACTCTGTGTTATCCTGCACGGTTGCAAAACTGCCCCCCTTCCCCCACATCTCTGCACTCCTTAATTCTGCGATCGCTTCCATATTTGGAACATCTCTGTTTTCCTCTTAACAGCGCTGCAACATGCCCATAACGCGAACATTTGGGACATCTTAGTGGTGGTGGGCGATACAGCCTCACGGGGAAACACATATACCCCACTGTTACTCTAGCTAGCAGAACAGTGTTCCGAAACTAAAAGAGTTCCGAGACACCATCCACCCTTTAATTCCAATTGCTTTGCAATCTGCTAACCCTGCAGACGTTACCTCGGGTAATACATCGTGCAAGACACTCTAAATCTTCACCTTAAGGTACAGTATTCTCTTTATCACTCTACGAGAAACTATCCCCTCACCCAGGGCCACTACATCAGTGACTTTGTACTGGCAGACTTTCAATTTGTCAAAGTCTATTTTTCCTGTTTCTCCGTTCGACATATTAAAAGCAGCTGTCCATCCCTCAAAATTTTCACCACTTGCACGTCCCCAATCTTCTTTTTCAGTTCCCCTGACAATGTTGCTGGACTTAACTCAATCGGTTCCTCAATCTTTTGAAACCCAACCATGTCTTTACGGTTTTCTTTCAAAGCCTTCTTCCACACAATGTAATCATTACCTTCATTCGAACCAGTTACCCCCGAAAACACAATGACTTTCTTGGCCGTGATTCCTTCCCAAATCTTCTCTCCCACTTTTCTCCCTTCCCTGTTGTGTCCCATGAATCACTACCATTCAATTATCACAGTTCATGTCATCTTCTTCGTCTAGCCCTGAGTAGCCATCAGATTCCATTTCACTTCCAATCAATGTCACAGTGGGTAACGCAGAAACGCTTTCAATCACCCATTAGCGACAACGTCATTTTCTGCCAAGACCGAAAGCCCAGGTCCTAGAAATACGTTTGAACCTACTTGGAGGCTAAATGCTAAAGAAAGCATTTTCTGTTCCTATAGTGTCACAGGGTATGGAGTTGCGCATGCGCATACCCTGTGGAATTATGGGAAAAAATGCCAAACGGAAATCATGCACTGCAGACATCATAATAAATCATAAAAAATGTTGACTTACTTGGTCTGATGTACATTGTAGGCCAAATGCAAGAAAAAATGTATATATATATATATATATATATATATATAATTTTTTTTAACTTGCGTGTGCGCATATCACTACTCAATGGCATTATGAGAACGTTTTTAGCATTTAGCATTCTCCTATCTAAAAAAAAAAAAAACCTGCCCATCACTCACTGAATCTCTCACCAAGATTGCCTTGCATGCCCTTAATCGCTTCTCATCTGGAATACTGAGACAGAATCCTGTACGGAGTATGATCTACAAATCAATGAAATAGAAATGGCCACTCCATCAAATTGAAATCACAGGTCCATGAGTTGACTTTTTGGATGCCACTTCCTCACTCAACTTCATTCATTATCATATAATAAAGGAGTCAGACACATTATGGAAATTGACTTTTTAATTGCTTGTTTATAAATTGTTGGGTCTCTGGAAGGACTGGCCACCCCTCAGGTATGAAAGCAAAAAAGGTCAATCAGCAAACTAAATACACACATACTCACAGGACAACAAATCACAGGAGAGAGCGGAATGGAGGAGAGACGAGGTGCTGGGGAAAAGCTGGCGTGCGCAGGTAACACTGCCAATGAGACATGGGGAAGGCACACAAAGGAGCACAGATGTCATAACACTGTGACAATATTCGGAATACAAACACACACACAACCCTTGGTGGTGATATGACGCGGTTTCAAGTCTCTTGCGCTTTCACTGTAGACGTTATTACCGAGGTTTCATCCCACGGGCTTTTCTCATCCCCTCTAGTCATCCCTTAATCCTAAATCAAACCTTAACCCACAGTTTCCCATTGCTCCTGGCTACAGGGCTATGGCAGGGCCCACCATAACCTCAGATCTGGAAAAAAAAACTCCTTTAAAGAGCGCCCGGAAAAATTGAGATAATTTAATTAAATATAGGTTTGTGTGTGCAAAAACAGGTGTTAACTTGATGTGGAAGCTGATCTACTAACAAACCAGGAATGCATCTGCTTGCCACGCTAAATGTCAGCGCAGTTCATTTTGCATGTTGTCGGAGCAATACAAGCAAATAGAAAAATTGAAGCATGAAAAATGTGGTGTATCAAACCTGCACTGAGTTGCGGTTACTGATTTTGTGCCTTTAACTAGTCCATCTGAAAGGCAGGTGCAGAACAGCATGCGAATTGGTGCCAGCAGCAGAGGCAAAACAAGAGACACGGGGGAAACTTTTCCACTCATGTTAAACATATTTTACATGACCAGAAAATTCAAATTCTTGCAGTATGTCATCTTTTCAGCAATGCAATTTTGCAGTCTCTAAACGCTCTAAAGTAGGGATGGGCAACTGGCAGCCTGCGCTCACACTCAGAGTGGCCCTCCATTCTTTTTTCTCCCTCACATACGATTGGAGCTGTCTTCGACGATCGGTGAGGTGGGGACCCCCCCGGGGGGACTGCTGTGCTTCCGACCTTCTGAGTCCCACACTCGGTGCTGAACAGGAGCTGAGCTACAGGGTGCCCAGCGGTGGCCAAGACCACATCTTGTCACTCTGTGACCACCCCCCTGGTGGCCCCCATAAATAAATAAGTGAACTTTTAACTGAACTTTTGTGTTAGCCTGGCCACCCCACAGAAAAAAAAAATTCTGGCTATCACCATTTTTGCTGAGGACAGGGTGTGAGGAAATCTGCAGTGTCACTCTGATGTTTTTCTAAAATATCTGAAACAAAATTAGGTAAAGTACAACGGGACAAAATATTGCACACAAGCTGCGGGTGATTGGTTTTTGTGATCAGCAATGAAAGATCACATCCTTTCCCACACAAATCATCCGATTAAGATTGGTGGCCAATCAATCAGATCACCACTAATTAGAATCATGAAAAAGTTTGAATGCTTCTACCGTCAAAGTGCTGTGTGGTGTACTGTACTTCAGGAATTTTTCGGGGTTACAAATTACAGGCTTTTCGATGACTGCCTTGTCAGGGAGATAGAGAGATGTTTAAGGTCCCTGCATCTGCCTTTCTCTCTCGCTGGTTCGCTCTCTCTCCCTCACTGTGCCCCTCTCTCTTTTATTCCCCCCACCCTTCACTCATTCCATCAGGTTCCCTCACACATACAGCCTGTGTGAGAGGATGAGACAGAAAGAGGACAAGCATGACAGAGAACAGCATCAGCACCACTGAGAAGGATCTCCCACACTGAGAGGGGGCAAAAAGTGAGGAAGTGAAGAGAGCGAGAGAAATAAGTTTTTTTTTTAAAGGAGAGGGAGGAATAACAAAGGACAGCTGGGGGAATTGTTTTTCATCCTATCTTTTTTTTTCCCATTTTTGGCCATCATTGCTGTATTTCTTCCCTTTCCCCGTTCCCTCCTTGTACCCCTTTTTCACTCTTCTTCTTCTCCTGGTCCTTCTCCCAGCTCCCGCCGTGGGGTCTCAGATCTCCGTCACCCTCCCCCCTTCCCTTGCTCCCTACCTCCCCCGGGCCTTGCTTGGAAACTCCAGGCTGCTGCGCCGCAGGAGGATGTCTCGCAGGGAGTCTCCCCCGCCACCCTCGCCAGAGCAACTGCTTGGAGTGAGGAGGCGGGAGGTGGAGTGCGACGACCGCCCGGAGCGCACCGAGCCGCTGTCCGATGCCGAGAGGGAGATCATCCAGGACACTTGGGGGCACGTGTACAAGAATTGTGACGATGTGGGGGTGTCGGTGCTCATAAGGTGAGTTCTGTCAACAGGTGAAAGCCTCCAAACATGTGCTCAAGGCAACTTATCCTTTTACCTTATGGGAGCATTTTGTTAACTTTAGGATGCTCAAATTCAAAAAGTGCATGTGTGAGGTTGGTCACAAATGTTTAGAGTAAGATTCTTCAGGCCAGTAGAGTAAATTTTATTTGGCATGCTTTAGTAATTACAAGAGGTCCTTAATTTGCAACCGATTTCCGTTCCTATGTCAGCAGCGTTTCTGTACATAATTGCAGTGCCTTGTAGTCTACCACTAACCTCTGCCTAACGGATGAGTAAATGTTAAGGTTGGAAGGAACGAAGTACAAATACTCAGTCGTTGTACTTATTAAAATTTTAACACGGATAGGCTATGTGTACTTTTGACTCCTTTGTCAAAAAAGGCTCGTTACTTTTTTTCAACCTCCACGAATGATGACACATGTAAAAGAGGCTCTGGTCGGTAAAGATTCAGAGGCGTGTCAAGCTCATGTTTGGTTGGGGCTTAAGCATTAAAGGGAATCCAAGCACCCCCAACATTTTAGAGATCTTGATTTAATGCGTTCTTTTTAACATGCTAGAAATGTGTAAAAAACAAACAAACAAAAAAAACCCCATAAAGTACTTGGTCGTAACAATAAAAATACATGACACCGCCTTTTGCTGAAAAAATGGTTTGATCCACCTCATTACTCTCACCTCTGCTTTTGAGGAACCAGCAAAGCATGACTGCATAAAACTCACAGGGACGCGTGGTCAGGATGTCCTCGTGAGATAATTGCCGCCCACTACTCTGCCTTCTCCTGCAGGTGAAGAGATTAAAAAAAGAAAAAAGAATTTATGATTACATTAAATTATGTTTGATTTTAGTTTATGGTCCGTGCTATCACAGTTATGCAGATGGCACATAGCTATATTTATCAATGACCCCGACTGACAGTTCAATTAACCTATCATTTCACTTCTTTGAGTAAATTAACAACTATATGAACCAAAACCGGAGGTATTTGTTTTCAAAAGAAATGAAGTCAGCATGTAGTCTAAATGCTTATAAATACCAGGTTAAAAACGTTGGTCTGTCCCCATGCCTTTGATTAAGGTTCAATTTTAAAGTTTTTTTTCTTCTTCTCTGTTTGTCTAATGTATCAAATACTTCATGCTGTCATGCACTAAAATGCAAATTAATCATTTTAAAATCATCAAATGTCATTTTCTGGAGTTTTGTTTTAGATTCTGTCCCTCATAGTTGAAGAGTACCTTTTGATACAAATTACAAACCTTTACCTGCTTTGTAAGTGGGAAAACTTCAAAAATCATCTCTCTATCCATCCATTTTCCGATCCGCTTTATCCTCACAAGGGTCGTGGGGGGTGCTGGAGCCTATCCCAGCTGTCTTCGAGCGGTAGGCGGGGGACACCCTGAACCGGTTGCCAGCCAATTGCAGGGTACACAGAGACGAACAAACATCCGCGCTCACACTCACACCTAGGGACAATTTAGAGTGTTCTATTAGCCTGCCATGCATGTTTTTGGAATGTGGGAGGAAACCGGAGTACCCAGAGAAAACCCACGCAGGCCTGGGGAGAACATGCAAACTCCACACAGGAAGGCCGGAGCCAGTATCGAACCCTGCACTTCTGCACTGTGAGGTGGATGTGCTCACCAGTCAACGACCGTGCCGCCCTTCAAAAATCAGCAGTGTATCAAATACTTGTTCTCCCCACCGAGTGTGTGTGTGTGTGTATGTGTGTGTGTATGTATGTATGTATGTGTGTGACACACACACACACGCACACACACACACACACCCACACACACACACACGTATGTATATACGTATGTATATGTGTGTGTGTGTGTGTGTGTGTGTGTCACACACATATATGAATTATGGAACGGAGTCCCGAGTGGCAGAGAAGCTTGTTTGAATAGTACAGGACATGATGCCAGAGGGTAGCAGAACAGTGATGAGGTGTGCTGAAGGTGTGACAGAGGAATTTAAGGCGGAGGTGGGACTGTATCTGGGATCAGCTCTAAGCCCTGTCTTCTTTATAATAGCGACGGATAGACTGAAAGACAAGGTTACGAAGAAATGTTGGAGTTTTGTTTTTGCGAATCCAAACGGTCAATGTCACTCTAACAAAATTCTTGTTAAAAGGATTGTTAAAATGGATAACAAACCGCAACCATGGAGAGTGATCGGAGGAAGACAAACTGATTTCCAGTTTGGGTGAAAGAATCCCTGAGGGGGAGGGACAATACGGCAGGGAGTATATCTTGTGTATAAGTGTTTCTGTGTGTGTGTGTGTGTGTGTGTGTGTGTGTGTGTGTGTGTGTGTGTGTGTGTGTGTGTGTGTGTGCGTGCGCATGCGTGTGCGTGCGTGACTGCGTGTAAGTGTGTCGTCTTATCTGGGGGTGACAGAAATATGTTTTGGCACTTCTCCCTTCCCTATCTCATTTTCTCTTTCAGTCTTTTCGGTCTTTTCAAAACATTTTGTCCTCTTTGAAGAAACTCTAATTAAAAGACGGTTATTCCTCTTCTGTTCAAAATCTTAATTGGTTGTGAGGAAGGTTAAAATCAATTAACTCAAAGCTATAAAGCAGATTACATACTGTATATAGGAATTGTTGCATGAAGGCTGTATCTATTTCTACACTATTACTTTAACAACAACAGTTTATATTAAGTCAACCTTAAAAAGCAAGTCAATTACATCCCGGCTTATAGCAATTGTACCTTCCTGCGTGGAATTTGCATGTTCTCCCTCGTGCCTGCGTGGGTTTTCTCCGGGTACTGTCTGAAGACACCTTGGGTAAATGCTCGTGACCCTTGTGAGGATAAGTGGATCGAGACAAAGATTAAAACATATTTACTGAAATCTTTATCTATGTCATTACAAAACCTTTATACAGTAATTAACATTCATCAACATTGCCTTCTGAGAGAGGCAAAGAGGCTTGTGTTGGTGGCCTAGAAGGTGGCTCTCACTTGACTCGTAGGCTTTTGGTTCACTTGGAGACTCTTCTGCTGGAGGCGCTGACGGTGTCGCTGAGGTTTTTATATTGGAGAAAAACGTGATGGGTAGCGCTATGATGTTGAAGTGGCGAGGGATTTCCTGTATTTAGATAATATATGTGCTAACGTCATGGCTCTTCTGTTTTCTGGGTTTGGTCAAGTGACGCTTGCAATGCGAGTCACAGGGCACTTTGACATCGGTTTCAGTCGACAACAGGGGGCAGTAGTTCCACCATGACTCGGTATCAGTATTAGGCGGTATACTGCTCTGTGCAGTGTGTTACGTTCCATGTTGGTGGGAAGGAATGAGCGGGTGCTATAGTTTTGTTGTTAAAATATTCCGCTTCAAAGAATGTGACGATTGGGTGGGGTCTGGTCAGTGATTGATGACTTGTCGTGAGACATCTCGCCGTGTCCAATGGCATTTATCTGGTCGCCTGACAGTGGAACCTTCCTGAACGAGAAAAACAGTTGTGTAGTTTGAAAAGGCCATAAGAGGCGCTTGAGCATCCCCAAAAATGTTCCTGAAACTGTCCGGGCCTTCAAAGTGTTCTATTTCCATTTCAGCTTTGATGTGTTGCCATGTACATATTATTTTGTCCAACGCCTTCAGAAACTGGAGTGTAGGTGTCGACCACACACACACACACACACACACACACACACACACACACACACACACACACACACACACACACACACACACACACACACACACACATCATTGAAATCGCGAGCCAATTAGGTTGTGCATTGATTTACGATGGAGATGTCAGAACATGATTAAAAATTCACTTTCAAGATGCACCTTTTAAGAAAAAAAATGGACTTTATGAGACCAGGTCAACCAACGATGCTTTGTTGAATGGTTTGTTTTAATCTGGAAATTTTGGGCATTATAAGATGGTAATAATGGTATTTATCCTCAACGATGTGAAATGCTCTTCTTTAATGTCACACGTTGGCGTCTTTCGGATGTGGATATAAATCAGATCCATATGCGATGCGTGCAGGGAAGAGTGCTTGGGAGGGCTACTGACAATCATCCATGGATCTTCAAAGTTGTTTAGTAACACGGTCTGCAGTGTGAACGTAGCCATAGTTAAATCCCTTTTTAAATTATTATTACAGTATTATTTTTTTTTTTTTTGGTGATGTGATAACATTATTAAGAGGCAGATTAGGTCGATAAATATCCACTGAGGGCCCAGGTCCGAAACTCACCGCCTGCCTCTGTGTTTAGCACTACTCCACTCTTGTTCACCGTGTGATGGACAAAGAGTGGAATTATCCACAGTTGACTGACAGTTCCTCAGTTTCCTCACAACCTGAGGCTGACCCGGGGGTCACAGCCTTGCACAGTTGACATGTTCTTGTCAAGAAGCTGAGACATCAGTGCACAGCAGCCATCGTGGGCTCAAAGATTTCTCTTTCACTTTCATGCCGCTCCATCTGCTTAGATGCGTGGAGCAGAGAGACAGTGGCAGCAGCTTCGGTTAATCTCAACAATGCATACAAATGCAATTGCACCACTGAATAAGATCTCCTCAGGCAATAGTAGAGCAAACAGCAGACTCAAGTTGTGTTGTTGAAATGGCATTTTGCTCGACAGTACTGTCGAATTTACAACTGAAATATGATCCTCATCGTCATACTACATGAAGTTCAAGAGATCAATCATCATCTGGGGGCTATTTATTTTTGATGAATAGACAATCTTACTGCGATATTGATGTTTAAAATTGTTATGAGGTGGTTACTTAGCCAGTCTCTTTGTCAATGTGTCCTCAGTGTGAATAGTAAAAGGATTTTCAGCTCTTTATTGTGACATGGAAACTTCCAGGACATCATTTATTCGTCTTTCATCATCTGTGAAATGTGTTTTGTGGGAAAACAATACAAATCAATACTTTCAGAGCCACCCCATTCTCAGTCTCAGTTTGCGATGAATTGCTTTGTACTCCAGACTCATTTATTTCGGTAAATGTGGTCTTATTGCTGTGCTCTAGTTCATGTATAACTGATGCACTCTGAAATAAAGTATCAATGCTGATGCTTCAAGTACCTCTTTTCCTTTATGATTATTAAATCGCCATTTCACCGGGTCCATTCTAGTTAGGAAGGAGTCTAACAATCTTCAATATTTAAATAGTTATGACGCAGACAAACACATCCGTGGAGATTCAACAGTAAGATCCAACATTGTTCACCCTGCTCTAAATAATTAGAAAAACCCTCCCCATTTGATTCAAGTATGATTAACAACTCAGGCTAATGGTGCCCATTTGACATTAATGGATTCATTTGAATGCAGAGACAGGTGCAAGAAGGAGCTCTCACACGGGGACAAAATGTTCCCCAGTTTGCTTCGGTAACTCAAGGTATAACAGAAATGAAACATTCTGAATAAAATATGAAGTGGCTGTGACCGGCCAAGTGTTTGAATGCGTTTTAAACGCATCCATTCAATGAAATATCATTTATTGACCTATCCGGGGAGAGCGTAGCATACATTGGTGGCTTATAACATCCATCCAATTACAAATGGATCGTGGATTTAAAAGGTTGACTTAACTTTGAACCTTTTTATGTTTTCATTCAATTGAATAAGGATTGTTTTTTATAGAATAAATTTTTAGTTGAAGATCAACTGTTGTAACTCTTTGATCACGCAAATTCAGCATTTAGTACAGGGGTGTCAAACTCATTTTTGTCATGGGCCACATTTTAGTTACCGTTTCCCTTGTAGGGCCGTTATGACTGAAACCAAATTTTAAAAAGTCAATAATTAAGGTTTATTGACCTATTGTTGTCTGTAATAAGGGGTTTGGTTGCCATCATGGAAATTGACATGCTTGATTTGCTTTAGCGGGCCACATAAAATGATGTGGCTGGCCAGTTTTGGCCCCCGGGCCTTGAGTTTGACACCTGTGATTTAGTACTAGAGAGATTATTTTCGGGCTTTCTTGAGTTTGTATCATGTTGTATTGAATCAGTCAGACTCAGAGGAAGGACATGTAGAGAAATGCAAGCCAATATGCCCCAAGTAATACATGCCAAATACATGTAAAACCCTGCCCAATCAAAAACGTAACCTGCCAAAGACATCTTTTTACCGTTGGAAAAAGAGAACATTTGCAGAGGAAAGAGGACATTCGGTGAGGCATTACAAACTGCTAAAGTAGGTGTTCTCACGTATTTTATTGCTATTACACTTTTTTTTTTTACCATTCCAATCATTTCAAAGCTGTACATTTGTCTCTAGTGTACTCTAATAAGTAGCGCTAAAACTTCATGTCTGTGTCAAGCAGTGCAAAAACTACAAGACTACATATATGTATTTCCTGTCACCCAGGAAAAAAAAGTGTTTGTACCGTGACAGCTGGTAGAGCCGAGCTAGAAATGCTATAGGCAAGCGAAAGCCTGTCTTGGCCTGGCATGACAGAATCTGGTGGCTGTAGATGCAGTTTATCAGGGCTGCCCAGGGCCAAACTCTAACTGGGAAGTAATTGTATCCACAATTTTGGCCAGCGTGAGCAATGACAAGATTTAAATGAGGTCAAAGTATAAAGTTAATAGTGGGAAAACTAGTGATTTCAAGGCTCCTGTAAACATTTTAAATCATGATGTGGCTATTTTGCAACTTTGCTGATGAACATTAAATGCCTGAATCATTAGCATTTCGCCATAAGATTCAATTTGTGGGATACATCTAAACTTATAAAGACTCATAAACTCTGCAATACGCAAAGCAATCACACCAATGACGCGCTACAAATTCCACAGTTTCCACAATCCACTTAAGGATTATGCCATACTATGCATTTAAATGCCATATTATTTGGGTTGTAACCCTTCCATGAAGTACAGTACAATTTGACTTTTGCTCGATTGACATTTTCATTTTAATTAGGTTGGCTTGTATACTGAAGCTTTATCCAAGTGGGTCAATTAGTTATTAGCAGCCTGATTAAACTGTAAAGCAATGTTTATCTTACACAACCATATCGTCACCGTCTTCAAATAGTGGCCTAAGCCATATTTTCACAAAAAAATATATGCATATATTTTGCCTTAAAAATCTCCTTGGAATGCTGGCTCCCTCTCCTAAAAGTGGCTACACCCTTAGTGCGAAGCAGATCATTCAATTTTACTCCTGAAATAATATGAGTGATTAACGTCATCAGTATTTGGTTCAGTTTTTTTGTGTGATCTGAAAAAACTGGAAAGATGACTTAGGCCATTATTTTAGGTAGTTGGTAGCAATGTAAACATATTGTGGAAAACACTTCTCAGGATTCCAATACTGTATATGTCAATCCACACTTGGATTGCATTTGAAAACACACACACACCCACGAACATACACACACACACACACACACACACACGCACGCACGCACGCACGCACGCACGCACGCACGCACACACACACACACGCACGCACGCACACACACACACACACACACACACACACACACACACACAAATAAGTGCTATTGTAACCCAAGGCAGGCCCATAGCCAATTTTGAGGAAAAGGTACAATAAATCGCAGTGAATCAACTGTAACAAGTATGGAAAGTTAAGGATGAGAAATGAATGCAGGCCAACATATCATTGATGACTCCCAGGGTGCCCTCATTCTTCTCCTTCTTCCCCTTTCGGCACATCCCTATTCAGGGGTCGCCACAGCGAGTCAGTAATTTCCATCCGCCCCTGTAAACCGTCCTACCAACTCGCATGGTCGTCTTGGCAAAAGTTTTACGCCGGATGCCATTCCTGACGCAACCCTCCCCATTTCTCCGGGCTTGGGACCGGCACTGGGGAACAGTGCACCCCCAGGGGAGGGCACTGCCCCCCAGCGGCTGGGTTCCAGGGTGCCCTCATTAACTGATAAAAAAAATTCACAACATTCCATTGATTCTATATCCATTCATTTTTGAGATTTGTTACTTTTTATTTGGGTCTTGGGGCCTATCCCAGCTGACTTTAAGCAAGAGGTGGGGTACACCCTAAAACAGGTTGCGAGCCAGCTACAGTGCACTGTATATAGCAGGGGTGTCCAACCAGTGCATCGTGATCGACTGGTATCCCGCGGACTGGTCCAAAGTCGATTGTGAGGGGTATAGGGGGAAAAGGGGTGGGGGGGGGGAGATTTGCTTCCGTGTGAGTGTTATTAATATTCTATATGTTTGTGTTAGTGTACACTGCACCCTAAGCATCCTATCAGTTTCACTTTCACCCAAAAAGTATTTAAAAAGTAAAATAAAAAAAAAAGCACCTGACCCGCGTCACTGGAAGTCGTTAGCGGTCAGCAGTCTTCAATTGCAGCTTGTGATCAGAGGTTTTGCAATATATCGTTTTTTAATTATTATTCTCATTCAAAGTTGATTTCATCTGCAATTCACTGATGGTACTGGCAAAGAATTGGAAATTAGTGTGCTGGGAGAAGCATTTTAAAAAGGTACACGTGAGCTACGATAGTCATGTTTGTGCACTTAACACGTTGCAAAATTGCGTCCCATAGTCTCTATTAAAGTAGGCAGCAATGTTCCCTCTAATTTTCCATGCGTGTGAGCATTCACACAAATTCCCCCTGAACATCCCTTGGACCACAGTGAGCAACATCAGACATGCACACGGTGGCCAAAGCAGTCTCACACCTGTCCAAAACCTGAGATCAGAAACAGTTCCATGATGTCAATAAGTAACACGAAAATTCAAACCACTGATACATCAAAACAGAACAAATCATTGAATAGAAAGTTGGGACACATATAAAATCAGCTCTATTTGTTAGTTTCATTTTAGGTAATTTTAAGTACAATTAATTAAATCTTAATGAAACATTTAAAAAAAATGATACACTGCGTCACAATGTAACGGAATCAAAAATGCATTTGAACTGCCACACACACCCCAAAATTTTTTCCTGGTTTTAATCGAGCAAAATCCAGCCAGCTACTGCCGAGCGACCAAATCATAAAAATGCAGCATAAACTGTATACAGATACTGTACTGTTTTGTGTTTTACAACAATACTTAACTGTTAATTTATATTTTTATATGTACCCGTGGATACAATAGTGAAACTCTCTGTTGCCAAAATGCATGCAAGCAATGCACTTGGTGCACTGGGTACAGTCAGTAAATGGGGTCGTAGTAGCCTTCCTCTCTTTGTGGCAACCTTCCTCCTTGACAATCACGCTTTCATGTAAAAGATACAGTACAATATACTGGAGCCTGAAAACCCAATACAGGGTTGCAGTTTATGTCACAGCAGGTATTGCGCAATATGTGGGTATGAGTGGCCACGTTTCTTTCTTTTTTTGCGATGGTCTTTTCCGATCAGGTTTGGCCTCTTCACATGGTGTGCCTTGGATGGATCCATTGGGAGTGAAGTGGTGTTCCTAAATAGGATAAATAGTAACCAAAGAGATGAACAGATCATCTTCATTTTCACCTGAATAAAACAAATGACGCTTGTTTTTGTGTTGACATTTTTTTCCCCAGGTTCTTTGTGAACTTCCCATCTGCCAAACAGTATTTCAGCCAGTTCCAGGACATGGAGGACCCTGAGGAGATGGAGCGAAGTTGCCAGCTTCGACACCATGCGCGCAGGGTGATGAATGCCATCAATACTGTGGTGGAGAACCTCAATGACCCGGAGAAGGTGTCGTCAGTGCTGGCCCTGGTGGGGAAGGCTCACGCGATCAAACACAAGGTGGAACCAATGTATTTTAAGGTATGAATGAGCTCATCTGTTACACTTCTCTACAACATGTCTTTCACTCTGACGCCTCTGAGACGACTCTGAGAGTGGGTGTGTTCGAAGAGGCAGAGTGCACTTATTAATATCCGAAAGTAGCCAGCACTGGTGCACCCTGTCCCCACTCCCAGTCGGAGCACCTTGTGCCTCGCGCCAATTCACAGCCGATCGACAAATTTGAGCAACGCTCTAGTTTACGGAGAGTCGCAGTGAAGCGGTGCGCAGGCGCTCGGCGATTAGTGCTGCCACTAACGCGCAAGTAACTGAAAAAGTCCAACACCACCACCCCGCCCTCACAAAACCATACACGGGGTACAGCTGCAGCACAAACACAGACACTTGAATTGTATCGGAATAAAATGGCAACATATTTGTAAATTAAAAATAATGTTCTCAAAAATAAATAACTACATGAATAATAAAAAAAAATGCTATAAATTGCTGGGGGTGCTGAGTTATCACCCTGAAATGTAAAGAAAAGATGACTTGTCTTAGCTACTGGCAGGATAGAAAACTGCATCTTGACCACAACAATACCTAAACATTCAGACAGGCAGAATGCAAAAAAAACAAAAAAAAAATTCTGAAGTACAAAGATCTGCTACGTCTCCAGAATCCACTAATGTGGGCTTCCCTCCCTCACCTCATTTACTTTGTGCCAAAGGGTGATGAACGATTCAATCCAACTATTAAAATAACTCTGCCTTTTAAATACTTGATTAAGAATACATCATGAAGGAAGTTAAACAGTAGAATCTGCTTGTGTCCATGACTTGTTGATTGCCATGAAGAGAAATCAGACAAAATACTCAGCAAAATGCTCAACATGTCGTGTTTGATTTTCCCGATCCACTTGCATAATTACCAATCAGAAAATCAACCATGCATCCCTCTTCATACGATGTAAGACACTTCTTCTCTTCATGTCTTTTCAACATCATCTTCTTTAATGCAGCTGCACAGAGCGCACAAGAGCATCATTGAAGGCACCGGCATCCGATTGGCTATGGTGTTTTAATTCATTAAACAAACTTCAGCAATGAATCATGATGTTGATTTCTTCCATCGACATTCTGCATGTCTGACATCTAATCATATTCAAATGTAACCATAGAAAACGGAATCTTCATATTTACCACCATAACTCTTCCCGTCCGATATCAACATATACATTTGCGCAGACGCTTCTTCTTCTTCTCCTTTCGGCACGTCCCTATTCAGGGGTCGCCACAGCGAGTCAGTAATTTCCATCCGCCCCTGTAAACCGTCCTACCAACTCGCATGGTCGTCTTGGCAAAAGTTTTACGCCGGATGCCATTCCTGACGCAACCCTCCCCATTTCTCCGGGCTTGGGACCGGCACTGGGGAACAGTGCACCCCCAGGGGAGGGCACTGCCCCCCAGCGGCTGGGTTCCAGGGTGCCCTCATTAACTGATAAAAAAAATTCACAACATTCCATTGATTCTATATCCATTCATTTTTGAGATTTGTTACTTTTTATTTGGGTCTTGGGGCCTATCCCAGCTGACTTTAAGCAAGAGGTGGGGTACACCCTAAAACAGGTTGCGAGCCAGCTACAGTGCACTGTATATAGCAGGGGTGTCCAACCAGTGCATCGTGATCGACTGGTATCCCGCGGACTGGTCCAAAGTCGATTGTGAGGGGTATAGGGGGAAAAGGGGTGGGGGGGGGGAGATTTGCTTCCGTGTGAGTGTTATTAATATTCTATATGTTTGTGTTAGTGTACACTGCACCCTAAGCATCCTATCAGTTTCACTTTCACCCAAAAAGTATTTAAAAAGTAAAATAAAAAAAAAAGCACCTGACCCGCGTCACTGGAAGTCGTTAGCGGTCAGCAGTCTTCAATTGCAGCTTGTGATCAGAGGTTTTGCAATATATCGTTTTTTAATTATTATTCTCATTCAAAGTTGATTTCATCTGCAATTCACTGATGGTACTGGCAAAGAATTGGAAATTAGTGTGCTGGGAGAAGCATTTTAAAAAGGTACACGTGAGCTACGATAGTCATGTTTGTGCACTTAACACGTTGCAAAATTGCGTCCCATAGTCTCTATTAAAGTAGGCAGCAATGTTCCCTCTAATTTTCCATGCGTGTGAGCATTCACACAAATTCCCCCTGAACATCCCTTGGACCACAGTGAGCAACATCAGACATGCACACGGTGGCCAAAGCAGTCTCACACCTGTCCAAAACCTGAGATCAGAAACAGTTCCATGATGTCAATAAGTAACACGAAAATTCAAACCACTGATACATCAAAACAGAACAAATCATTGAATAGAAAGTTGGGACACATATAAAATCAGCTCTATTTGTTAGTTTCATTTTAGGTAATTTTAAGTACAATTAATTAAATCTTAATGAAACATTTAAAAAAAATGATACACTGCGTCACAATGTAACGGAATCAAAAATGCATTTGAACTGCCACACACACCCCAAAATTTTTTCCTGGTTTTAATCGAGCAAAATCCAGCCAGCTACTGCCGAGCGACCAAATCATAAAAATGCAGCATAAACTGTATACAGATACTGTACTGTTTTGTGTTTTACAACAATACTTAACTGTTAATTTATATTTTTATATGTACCCGTGGATACAATAGTGAAACTCTCTGTTGCCAAAATGCATGCAAGCAATGCACTTGGTGCACTGGGTACAGTCAGTAAATGGGGTCGTAGTAGCCTTCCTCTCTTTGTGGCAACCTTCCTCCTTGACAATCACGCTTTCATGTAAAAGATACAGTACAATATACTGGAGCCTGAAAACCCAATACAGGGTTGCAGTTTATGTCACAGCAGGTATTGCGCAATATGTGGGTATGAGTGGCCACGTTTCTTTCTTTTTTTGCGATGGTCTTTTCCGATCAGGTTTGGCCTCTTCCCATTGTGTGCCTTGGATGGATCCATTGGGAGTGAAGTGGTGTTCCTAAATAGGATAAATAGTAACCAAAGAGATGAACAGATCATCTTCATTTTCACCTGAATAAAACAAATGACGCTTGTTTTTGTGTTGACATTTTTTTCCCCAGGTTCTTTGTGAACTTCCCATCTGCCAAACAGTATTTCAGCCAGTTCCAGGACATGGAGGACCCTGAGGAGATGGAGCGAAGTTGCCAGCTTCGACACCATGCGCGCAGGGTGATGAATGCCATCAATACTGTGGTGGAGAACCTCAATGACCCGGAGAAGGTGTCGTCAGTGCTGGCCCTGGTGGGGAAGGCTCACGCGATCAAACACAAGGTGGAACCAATGTATTTTAAGGTATGAATGAGCTCATCTGTTACACTTCTCTACAACATGTCTTTCACTCTGACGCCTCTGAGACGACTCTGAGAGTGGGTGTGTTCGAAGAGGCAGAGTGCACTTATTAATATCCGAAAGTAGCCAGCACTGGTGCACCCTGTCCCCACTCCCAGTCGGAGCACCTTGTGCCTCGCGCCAATTCACAGCCGATCGACAAATTTGAGCAACGCTCTAGTTTACGGAGAGTCGCAGTGAAGCGGTGCGCAGGCGCTCGGCGATTAGTGCTGCCACTAACGCGCAAGTAACTGAAAAAGTCCAACACCACCACCCCGCCCTCACAAAACCATACACGGGGTACAGCTGCAGCACAAACACAGACACTTGAATTGTATCGGAATAAAATGGCAACATATTTGTAAATTAAAAATAATGTTCTCAAAAATAAATAACTACATGAATAATAAAAAAAAATGCTATAAATTGCTGGGGGTGCTGAGTTATCACCCTGAAATGTAAAGAAAAGATGACTTGTCTTAGCTACTGGCAGGATAGAAAACTGCATCTTGACCACAACAATACCTAAACATTCAGACAGGCAGAATGCAAAAAAAACAAAAAAAAAATTCTGAAGTACAAAGATCTGCTACGTCTCCAGAATCCACTAATGTGGGCTTCCCTCCCTCACCTCATTTACTTTGTGCCAAAGGGTGATGAACGATTCAATCCAACTATTAAAATAACTCTGCCTTTTAAATACTTGATTAAGAATACATCATGAAGGAAGTTAAACAGTAGAATCTGCTTGTGTCCATGACTTGTTGATTGCCATGAAGAGAAATCAGACAAAATACTCAGCAAAATGCTCAACATGTCGTGTTTGATTTTCCCGATCCACTTGCATAATTACCAATCAGAAAATCAACCATGCATCCCTCTTCATACGATGTAAGACACTTCTTCTCTTCATGTCTTTTCAACATCATCTTCTTTAATGCAGCTGCACAGAGCGCACAAGAGCATCATTGAAGGCACCGGCATCCGATTGGCTATGGTGTTTTAATTCATTAAACAAACTTCAGCAATGAATCATGATGTTGATTTCTTCCATCGACATTCTGCATGTCTGACATCTAATCATATTCAAATGTAACCATAGAAAACGGAATCTTCATATTTACCACCATAACTCTTCCCGTCCGATATCAACATATACATTTGCGCAGACGCATATACTGTACCTTCATATACAAGCCCGTGTGTGCATGTATTTATGTAATATATGTAGTAGTAGGCATACAGTACAGTAGTGTCATATTGGTGAAATTAGAGACATTAGATGCGATATATATATATATATATA